AAAACTGAGTTTGCCGCAGAAGGTGTAGGAAGGGAAGGGAAGGAAGGCACTCTACTCACCTCAAAGTCCTTGATGTTAGCTGAGGCGGCGCGTTTTGTAATCTTCTGAGCCAGCTGGATGCCACGATGTATAAACTTGGCGACACGGTCCATATCCTCCAGCTGGAAGCCGCGCGAAGTTAAGGCCGGAGTGCCCAGACGAATGCCACTCGGACTGCAGAATGGAAAAGAGTGATACACGGACAGAGAATCATGCGGTGGCATTCGGAAAAAGCAGCAAGGCGAAGGGCAAGAGCAGGGGACTTAAAGGACTCACTGCATGGCATCGATGTCACCGGGCACTGCATTTTTGTTTACCGTAACATCTAAATGGTCCATCACAGTATTGACCCTATCACCGTCCAATTTGATTGGTCGAAGGTCAACCAATAAGAGGTGCGTCTCCGTGCCACCAGTCACGATCTAAATGCAACGGAAAAGTACGTGCATGGTTTGAGAAGAACACTTAAAATTCAGTAATGACTACCGGGAGAAGAGATCATGAAGGAAAATCTTGGATTTCAATAAGTAGTAATTACCTGTCCAAATAGGCTGGGCAAATACGTCAGCGTACCATAACTAAAACTTGTTATAAATACGGGGTATCGGGAATTTTTATTTGTATGAAGCTTAAACGCTTATTTCTACTGCATCTATTACAATTTCAGAAAGATAACTAAACAGTAGGCAGCCCATTGGAGTCTTGGATTTGTCCGCAGTTTTTCTGCCTTACGATATACGTCTAAGGCAGTGCTATATCCCGTATGAAACAACTGGATCTCACCTGCGTCGCCAGTTATTATGGCCCAGTTTATTTTGACCAGACTAGTAGGCAGAAGAAGGCGAGAGTAGGGTTCTGATAGGCAAGGGCTTTATTTAACAGCCCACAAAGACAGCGGGGTTTGCTGGGCCCCTAAACTCGTCTACTACCGCATATTTATATGGTTCCGGTCTTTCTAGAATATTCCTGACATAGCGTGTGCGCCTAGGCATTCTAAGAGGATCTCGACTAGGGCCACTGCCCCCGCTATATGGTTGGTCATCTCATTTGCTCGACGCACAGCGTGGGCGGCTTACATGCGGGCGTGGCGCACCATGGGCGGCTTGACTGCGGGCATGGCTCAGCTGGTTTGCCTTTTTTGCCGACTGCCATGGATTCTAAGGGTATCCCGCCCCCACAAATAGACAGATTAGATGTTTTCGTCCAAAGACTCTAACCGGTTCGAAGCATTTGTGTTTTGCCGTTCGGGAAAATGGCACACGTGGTTAATAGAAACTACATCACCCTGGCAAAGTCCGACTGGAACATAATGATTGTTGTTCAGGATAAGCAAGAATGTGGTTTCGTCCTGATCCCTAATGAACTGAAGGTTTACAAAATGCAGTTAGAAATCATTAACGCCAATGAGACGCCCGTAAGACTGCTGAAGAACAAGCATTCTTACCCGTAGCTCCAGGCGTGTCAGAAATGTAGGCCCTAATCGTCAGTCCTAAGCAATGTGGTGCACTAGGGTTCATATAGATTCTGTATCACATCAAAGTTCATCGGGTAAGAAGAGTGGATTGTATCTGTGCCTGACAGTCCAGGCTGCCGTTCGGCATCCTTGCACAAAGGTTA